TTAGTTAAAATTCAGTGATTTAAATTTCGATATCCCACTTTTAACTGCTAATGTGAATGGCTTTCACTTCTTGCAACAAAACACACATCAAGGATAGACTTTTGCAAGTTCTTCTATAGTATCCATTTTAACCATTAGGTATACTTGTGAAGTTAATATTTTGAACATTTTGTCTAGTAGAACATAGATACGCATTATTTAACCGACTTTTAAAATTATATTTGATATAGCTATACAAATGCGAAATAATCTATGAATAATCCTGTTTAAATTACTGGTCATCGTTTTTTTGGAAATGTTAACGATCTTTCTAATATTGCGTGTATGTAGATAGGTACGTAGGTGTATATATATATATATATATATATATATATATATATATATATATATATTATGGGTATGGCATTAATCTGCTTTCAGGTTATATTATAATATTTAATATTTGTTTTGCAACTTTATATGTAATCATAGGGTAAATAAAAAGTTTGATGTTGTTTTGTAAATCCTACTCATGATATCCCCGATTGCCTATTTAACAATACTTATCAATAATAATGTCCAGAATAAATAATTTAAATGGAGTGATATGATGTTACATATTCAAAATAATAGACTGAATATTACTCTATCTTTTTAATATAAGTGACGAGTAAAATAAACACATTGTAAAGGAACTGTTTAAACCTGTTAAAATCTGTCATTTGAAATAGTTTACAGAGATATCAAAGCGGCCGTTTCAAATGACAGATTTTAACAGGTTTGACTGTCTCTCAAGGCGTGAAAAAAGAATTACAATGAGCATTGAAGCAGTTCCTACTACCACTGACATAGATAAACTTCATAGTCTCTAAGTTCATTTACAAAGTGTCTATCAGTAATATTTAAATAAATGGCAGGCTAAACGTCAACGATATCTCATAATTGAACCGACATTTTTTGCATTCGAATGTTTCGTTTCGGAAGTCAGTGGGTTCATACCATTTAATTTAAATGGAACCTAACTGTATAAAGAGTCGTACACTTAGTTTCTCGGAATTTCCTAATGTTTTCTACATAAGTGGTGCACACTATGCAACCTGTACCCAAACATCATTGCTTTTTTTTGGTACAGTTTTATGACAGAGGCTCATTGGTGAAGAAACAGTTTGTGTGGCACATGTTGCAAATATTTTCTAAAAAAGATGAATTTAGCAGGTGGCTAGGCAATCCAGCTAAAAACCTTAGTCACTCTGAGCATTTTCATTATAGGAGATATGTTGAAAATATTTTCTTGTTAGCAACAATCTCGACAAAATTTGAAGCGGTTGATTCGCAAAGTTTTCCAGAAGAACAACAACAAATGTTCAGAAAGTTGTTGTTGTTTTGTTTTTTTACCCCGTCAGAAACTAAGTTCGATTTTGTGAAGATGTCTGCTGGGGAATCAATTGCAAACATTGATTGTACGTAAATTTGTTGTTGTTTTGCAAAATGTTGCTTTTATTATGAGACACTTAGGAGTCTGCGTTATTTTTAGTTGTAGTAAAAGTTTGTAAAAGCCGATATTTTTTTTAAAAAATCCTTTTCAAAAGTAGACCATTCATGCTTAATATTAGAAATTCAGTTTTAAAATGAAAATAATTTGAGACTAGTAGTGAAAAGCATACTATTCATATAAATCTCTATAGAAATTGATTTCAGCCTGGATTGTTTGCGGTCTGATTCAAGCAGAGCCAATCAATACTGATTAAGAATTAACTGTAACCCTTGGCAACACAAGTAATATTTCTTTTTAAGTCGTCAACCATTAAAACCTAACTCATAATCTTCGAAAGATGTCTAACCTGTTAGTTTTTTAATTGTAGTTTTGATGATTATAAAAAGTAATTGGTCAGAGTGAAGAAAATATATTGTATAATTTATATTCGATTGGTTAATAATATATATATCTTCATCTTTCTAGGTCTGACCATCGAACCGATGATGTCTATAGCTGTGCAGAATAGAGCGTGTGCACAGTAACCTATGCGTGATTGGAAAGGTCATTGCACAGGAACAATCCTACAAGGTCAATCTTTATATTTTTATCGTGAGATTTCACAACCAGTGGCCATTTGGACTGTAGAAGATCATTGGATCTAAATGAAGTCGCAGATTTTATATTCTGATGTCCAAGATGCATTTTCGCCCGGTGGATTAAGCAGGTTAACAGCCCGTTTATCCGTTAATCTATTTGACTCACAGATAAATACTATCAGGTGCTACTACTCTGGGCCAGTGTGGACCTGAGAGTAGTAGCAACTAAAGAGTAACTCCACAATTCTCAGAGCTCCAGAACTCTCAAGTTGCAGCATTACCACCGAAAGCAGTTTAATGTCATACCCAGAATATATATAACTAGCTTAAAATCCACACTGCCGGGTGGCATTTAAGCTAGCTCCTGCAGAGGGCTCTTAATTGTGTCTTCATCGCAATAGGTAGGGAGGAGTAGATGCGATAGGCAACAATTGACTACAGAAAAACTCAAAATTGATCACGGCATTTAAACATAGCATTAATATTTAAGCTTACCTTTTAAAAGTTCAATGATAACTGTATTTTAATGAGAAATCAATCTCTTCAATATTGCATTTTAATGTGAAATCAATCTCTTGAATATTGCATTTTAATGGGAAATGGATCTCTTGAATATTGCATTTTAATGTGAAATCAATCTCTTGAATATTGCATTTTAATGTGAAATCAATCTCGTGAATATTGCCTTTTAATGGGAAATCAATAAGTAAAAGTAGTTTTATTACATTTAGTACAGCATTATAATGTGCATTGTTTCAACTAGAAATATTTACATCGGCAGTCTGATCAGTTTGATAAGGTCAAATTGGCAGCTGATTTAAAAAATGATCTGGGACAAGAAATGGCTTGCTAATTTAAACACCTCTCTCATTTAATCGACCGAGAGAACAATTTCTACCGTTCATCATCATGGCTGATGCTAACCACCAGAAAAAAAAATGACTCACTGTGCCTTCCCTCCTCGGGCTAACATTTTCCACTGACATGAAATGGAAAGATTATTTTGAATCAATTGCTATGTCTGCAGCTAGGAATGTTGGTTCACTGTGCCATTCATTCATGCATTGAATATTGTTGTTATATCTGGTCTGGTGCTTCTGTTACGTATTTAGAGATTCTTGAAAAAATACAAAGAAGATTCTGCAATGTTATTGGTCCAGAGTTAGCATCTTGGCTTCAGTCACTTTCCCACCACCATAACGTGTGCCTTTTCTATAAATATTTTCATGCTAATTATTCTGGTAAGCTTTTCTCTTTGGTACCTTGACTTTATGAATTTAAGCACAGTACTAGATTGACAGTAAGGTCTCTCATCATTTTACAGTTGAAATGGCTAGATGTAAGTTCTATGCTGACAGTTCCTTCTTTTGCACTTCCCACTTGTAGAACTCACTTCCAGTTTTTTGCTTTCCAGTCAAATTTGATCTTCAGAAATTTAAATGCAATGTCAATCATTATCTTCTGCTTTCTCAATTCCTGTTTTTTTTTTATTGTTCTATTCCTGTTTTCCTCTTTAATGTTTTCTTTTTTTCATATTCTTTCACATTCAGTGACTCCCTGCATATTAGTGATTCTATTTCCTTGCTTGGGGTGAAATGATTAAAAAAAAAAGAATAAGGGTTCAAATGTAGATTAGGTCACTAGAAGTTGCAAGTAAGGTCGAACAGGTTAGAATGCACATATGACTAGAATTCGGTGAGCTCAGGTGAAACCATTAAGTGATCAAAGAAAAAGAACAAAGTTGTTTTTGAGTCATTAGAAAATAGCTGACTGTTGGAATTCTACTTTTATATAGGTTTGTAAGATCAATCATAGCAAAACATATTTGGTTTAAAAATATTTTTTTTATGGTGAGTTTTGATTTTCCAGATGGTTACACATAGATTTAATATTGTTTTCCTTGTTAAAATTAACAAAATCATATTTTTGTAATTGAGAATTCATCTCAAACTTAGCTCCCCCTCCACAAATACACACACACACATACACACACATGCACATATGTATGATAAAATATAGTTTTAAGGTCTGCTATATTTATAGGTTAAGGTGCTCAATATCAGCAATAGAGCGTATGTAAATATAAAAGTGAACATTGAAGTCAACACCCAGAGGTGACAGTCTGCGTCATGCTAAATGTAATCATCAGGCCAGATTGTCAGATCAGATGACCTGATGATTGCAGTTAGTATGAAACAGACAGTCTTAAAGTCAACTCCCAGAGGCCCAAAAGTGACAGTCTGTTTCATGCTAGTATATGAAGGTTCCATTAATGTGAACGTGGAAACTTAAGGTTTAAAGTTGATTATATCTCCATGGGAAAAAATCCAACTATGGCAGGATAATTAACACTCTTTGTAGACTAGTAAAATTGATATTTAGGCATTTGGTGATATGTGATGGTTAATAAACTCTTGATAATACCAGTTTCCATAGATGTTGCTTAGTAGTCCTTAGTTATTATTATAATTTCGGGTTTCTTTATGATTAGAGAAAATCCCTCAAAATGCATTTATTATTAGAGGAAATCATTCAAAAGTAGCAGCCCTGAGAATATTTATTTACCAAAACCATTTCACTCCAAGCAAGTTGATAATGCTAATAGGATGCATGGGGTTGTAGTGAGTGAAAGAGAATGAGAAAGCTTTTATGAAGAGAAGTGACAAAAAGAGAATGAGAAAGCTTTTATGAAGAGAAGTGACAAAAAGAGAATGAAGAGAAGTGACTGAGAAAGCTTTTATGAAGGAAGTGACAAAAGAGAATGAGAAAGCTTTTTATGAAGAGAAGTTGAGAAAGCTTTTATGAAGAGAAGTGACAAAAGAGAATGAGAAAGCTTTTATGAAGAGAAGGACAAAAGAGAATGAGAAAGCTTTTATGAAGAGAAGTGACAAAAAGAGAATGAGAAAGCTTTTATGAAGAGAAGTGACAAAAAGAGAATGAGAAAGCTTTTATGAAGAGAAGTGACAAAAAGAGAATGAGAAAGCTTTTATGAAGAGAAGTGACAAAAAGAGAATGAGAAAGCTTTTAAGAGAAGTGACAAAAGAGAAAAGAAAGCTTTTATGAAGAGAAGGACAAAAAGAGAATGAGAAAGCTTTTATGAAGAGAAGTGACAAAAGAGAATGAGAAAGCTTTAAAGAGAAGTGACAAAAAGAGAATGAGAAAGCTTTTATGAAGAGAAGTGACAAAAAGAGAATGAGAAAGCTTTTATGAAGAGAAGTGACAAAAAGAGAATGAGAAAGCTTTTATGAAGAGAAGTGACAAAAAGAGAATGAGAAAGCTTTTATGAAGAGAAGGACAAAAGAGAATGAGAAAGCTTTTATGAAGAGAAGTGACAAAAAGAGAATGAGAAAGCTTTTGAAGAGAAGTGAAAAAAAGAGAATGAGAAAGCTTTTAAAACAAAAGAGAATGAGAAAGCTTTTATGAAGAGAAGTGACAAAAAAAATGAGAAAAGCTTTTATGAAGAGAAGTGACAAAAGAGAATGAGAAAGCTTTATGAAGAGAAGTGACAAAAAAGAGAATGAGAAAGCTTTTAGAAGAGAAGTCAAAAAGAGAATGAGAAAGCTTTTATGAAGAGAAGTGACAAAAGAGAATGAGAAAGCTTTTTATGAAGAGAAGTGACAAAAAGAGAATGAGAAAGCTTTTATGAAGAGAAGTGACAAAAAGAACAATAAAGGAACAGAGTTCAGCAAGAGAGAAAATGTTGATTGATGTTGCATTTAAATTTTTGAAGATTGTAGCTGGTAGAGAAACAAGAGATCAAATGGGAGTTCAACAGGTGAGAAGTGCAAAAAAAAAATGCTAGAATAGAATCTAGCTAGTTCAACAGCTTAGCTTAGTTGCTAAGGTTTAAATTTATTTAGTTGAGATACTAAGGAAAAAAGCTCATCAGAATAGTTGCTATGAAAATGTTTGTAAGAATTTGGCAAAGATGAAGTGACTGTTCTGCTCAAAAATGGATCAGGAGATTTTTAACAGAAAATGAATCACAGGAAGAAGCATCTGGTAAAGGTCAGAAGGTTGACCGGTGAGACTTAGTGATGAACTGAGGACTTAAGTACTGAAATTAATCTGCTTCAAACTTGTCAGATTTTGTCATTTTTTTGTCCTATACAAAATAAACTTACATGTCTGTACTTGTAACAAATTAGAAAAAAGTAAACATTATGTTAATGTGAACCCTACAAACTTTTAACTTTTCCACATCAAACACATCACCAATTCTTCCATTGAATTGCTCCAGATCTTTGATCATTCTCAAAGCAAATTCACATATATTAGTCAACAAAAGAAAGAAAAAAAATTAAAATATTTTCTATTGTTTCAGTGTCCATGGTCTACTGCAGATTTGGCTTCATTTTTAAACCTTAACAAAATTCCAGCCATTAAAATACTTAAATAGGCACCTCTTTACTTAATATAATCACTAATTTTATTCTTGAATGTCATTTAATGATGAACAATGGCTAGACATTTACAATTTTGGGAAAAAAAATAAAGGAACAAAAACAAAAGACAAAATTTCACATGTTAGATTACAAAAACCATGGTTGGCATTGAATTGAATATATAACAAGCAAAATTTAAGTACAGAAGGAATTTGAACAATCTGTATTCAGTATTCTATATTTTCAAACTAATCTCTTCATATTATTGTTCTTAGCAAAATATTTCATCCAATTTCAAAGTTCCTGTTTTTCTGATGTTCAGAAATGATATAGAATAATGAAAATATTTAATCTCAGTACTTCAGATAATACAGGCATATTGAAGGATAATGAGCCAAAACATTGCGTTAAAAAGAATAAAGATGAAGAAAAGAGACAAAAATGGAAGAACAGATATATTGCATCTCACTATTAAAACAACAAAGATGAAGACAGTAGTTTGAAAAATCTATGGATTAATGAAATGTGCTAGAACTTTAGAAAACAATTGATATTTCCATGAAAAATATTCTTACAAGGAAAGAAGGAGAAAGTTTGAATATCTCGTGTTATAAATATGATCAGAAGAGAGAAAAATCTGAGAAGGTTTTTTTTTACTCATACTTCAGAGAGAAATTTATCTTGACTTTGGTTGTATGTATTTTAATTTTATAACAATTGTAACAGCCTGAAGTTCAATGAATTAACAAATATCAGTTGCCAAAAGTTGGATATGGTGAAACTAGAATTAATATTCCCAAAACCTACAATTATATCATAAAACAGGATCATTAACAGAAATTGAAATCCATTTTTTATTCAAACATCATATGAAGTCAGTGTCAAGTCATTTGCTATTTATAAAATTCATATTTTATTGGTAGATAAATAAGAGAAAACTATACTGTAATTAGACAAACACCAACTATCAAACCATATACAAATTATCAATGTGTATTTATTTATATAATTCTGGTGTATTTATTTATATATTTCCTGTCCTATCTATAGTAGGAAGGGAAGTAAATTAATTTATTTTAGTAAATTTATGAGTAATTACTTCTCTTAGACATTTTAATAATTTGTACAAATAAAATATTAATTTGAATTTAGACAAAATTAGTTCTCAAGCAAAATGAACTATTTAATCCAAGCCTTTACTATGTTTCTTTAATTGTAGCCTAATTTGTTCAAATCCTTCATGTGAGACAGTCAGATACCTTTGTCTATTAAGTGATCATCTTACTTTAACCTGGTCTTGAAATAGGCATTGTCGTCACCATCTTCAAAAAGATATTTCCATTTCACTGTTATATTAAACACATAAAATTTCTAACATGAAAAGATATTGAGCAAAAAGCGATTTATATAATATCGGGAGTAATCAATCATAGATATCATTGAATATCTAAAAAATATAAAAGGGAATAAATTAAACAGTTCATTGGCCTCAATTTTAGTTGTTAATTCTTTATCTCAGCTTTATTGAACCTCGATATATTGTTTCAAGAATTTTGTTTCATTGCATCTCACTATTAAAACTTTGTAACAATTGCTGTCATTTTTGATGGCATGGATACAACAGTAAATAATGTTTAAAGTTTAGTTTTACTTGAACTCTTACTAATTCTTTATTTACTGAAGTCTAGTGATAAATGAGTTTTGAAGATACTTACTAGGGTGAGCTAAAAAGTTCATAGGTTGATTATTAAGGAGTGATGGTAGAGCCGTGAAATTTTCCATGTATTAATTTCAACTCTTCATAATGCATTAATTTCAACTGTATTGTCTCTTTTCAGATAAAGTGACTTCTGACTGTTCAAGGAAGACAATTCAGCCTGCTGATCAAAAAAAGTCATCAACAGCAGATATGACATCATCATCACTGGCTTACTGGTTCCCAGCCAAGTGTTTTTTCATTTTCTGGAACCAGGAGAAGGGTGATCAATGCCACAGTCTTGCACAGCAGTCATTGAAATCAAGAACTTGTATTTTGGAGCAGTGTTCTGATGAAACATGACCCTTTTGTCAGTCTTCCTGGATGTTTGGTCTTGACAGCCTTTTGTAACTGCCGCAGAAATTTGGCACAGTACTCTCCATTGATGGTATGGTCCTTTTGAAGATAGTCAATAAACACAACTTTTGAATCCCCTCTTCTTTGGAACAGGTGAGGAGGGGTGTTTCTACTGCATGGATTGTCATTTTGTCTCTGGCTCAAAGTGGCAAATCCAACATTCATCCTCGGTTCAGAAATATTGAAGGAGGCCAGCTGGATCTGCCTCAGGCAATGTCAGATTTTCCGATGATTTGATTAGCCTGAGGTGCTTTTGATCAAATGTCAGAAGATGTGGCACCCACTGAGCAGAAACTTTCATCATGCCAATTTCATTGGGTATAATATTCTCAACTCTTTCGCAAGATATGCTAATAGCATTGGCTATTTGATTTATAGTCATTCATCATCCATCACCATGTGGTGAACATGATCAATTTTTTCCATGGTGGTGGCAGTTGCACAGCATCCAGAATTTGGGTCATCTTCAAAACTCTTCCTTCCCCTCTAAAAATTCAGCTGCACACTTTTGCACTGTTGATAAAGCTGGAGTATTATCCCCTAATACAGCAACCATGTCAGCATGGATGTCCTTGGGGGTTAAATTCTTTTTCTGTAGGTACTTGATGAAACCACAATGCCAAATTTTGTCCATTTTCAAGAGATCTTGCTACTAGTTAGTTTTGAAGTCTTCTTTGAACAGTCAGATGTTAATTTACCCAGAAATAAACAATGCAGTTATTAATGAGTTGAAATTAATGCACACAAAATTTCACAATTCTAGCAAAGCTCTTTCATAGTCAACCTAAGAACTTTTCAGGCCACTCTCATACTTACAAGGTGGACAAATTGATCTTTGTGATAAGATGTTGAATTATTCATGATGAAAGAGGGAAAAATGAAAAGATCCCAGAGGAAATATTTAGAGGTTTTGTAGAGTCCATGCTTGATTGGTTAAGAGCAGTTTTGCAAGTGCATGGAAGATTAACATCTTATTAGGCAGTAGGGTCTTCACTGTATATAGCTTTTAGATCTACATATTAAAAATTCTTGCTGGCAGAGACAATCTAGTAGTCAGTTCAATTTGAAAAACACTGATTACATGCACCAAGTAAAATAAAATGTATGCTAACTTTCCTTAAGCATGTACAAAATCTTGACAGTATCATTTTTCAGCTATGGAAAGCCTTAATAGTACATTTTTCTTTTCTTTACTGAGTGCAGGTTCCTTAATAACATGGAATTTTATGCTTGGGAGAAAATGCAGCCTTTTATCAGATTTCTCACAGGATTATATATGCATGCAGAGAGAAAAATAAGTTGTAGGACTGATATTAGACAAAGACATGAAGAAATGTGTTCTTGGATGCTATCAACTATCAGAAAGAATTCTTGTGGTTAAACTGAAAGAAAGCTTTTCAATATATCCATCATGGTTGTATATGTACTGAAAGCACAAAGTACAGAAGGAGAAATTGAAAAGTTCTATTCTATACTACACAACACCAAGGTTCAATACAAGAGATCACCATAAGAGAACGGAATGCCAAAGTAGGCAAGGACAGAGATGGTAAATATGGGATTTCTTTAATCCTATCCACTCTTTAAGGAAATGCTTCTTTATTAACTTGATCTCATTCTAGTAATATATCTCTGTGTATTCTTCCAGTAGCAAAAATCTATTACACCCATTGTTAGCCATGACAGAGTCTAGTCTTTTTCACTATATCCCCTTCTATATCATTTTCAATTTCCAAAATAGCTGTGTTCCCTCAAACTGAGACAAAATATGAGACAAACCAGCTGCTTTAATATATGTGAGTTGTTATTGTTCTTCTTCTTCAGGATATTGGTGATCAGGGTACTCCACAATTTCCTGTTCTTTGTAGCTCTTGATAATTTTTTTTTATTATCTCTCCTAAACCTTGTTCCGTTATCCATTTCTACAAGCTCACTAGGTAGGTTATGCTTTGTTTTCCTCTGTCTCTCTTACCTTCAAGCTGTATTGTGAGTATCATATTTTCCAAGCTGTTTTTCCTCATTATGTGCCCTAGAAACCTCAACTGTCTCTTCCTGATGTTAAGTATAAGTACTCTTTTTGTTTCCATTTTCTCTAAAACTTTGTTGTTACTCACACATTTGGTTCATGATATTCTCATCATCTTTCTGTATAAACACATTTCTGTTGTTTCAAGTTCCTTCTCCATTTATGAAGAGATTGTCCAGCATTCACTGAGTTACAGATCTTTAAAAAAAAGGAAATGTTAAGAGACAAATAAATCTCAAAGAAATATGAATTTGGGCAAATGTTCTCATTTTTCATTTAGGGTTTTATTATCTGGTGACTAAAAATGTTTGTGCAGTTTTTATGCTCTTTATTTTGTCACTTTTTAAAAAGATAAACCCTTCAAAAGACTGTAGTATGTAAGCAACATGAAATTCATTATTTGTTTATGATCATCAGAAAAAGAAAACTCACAGTAATAATGACCTTCTCTGCTGCGTGAATGTAAACTTGACACAAAAACAGTAGAAGCAAATTTGATGAAGGTGAAGATAGTAACTGTACTGTTCAAAGGCAGATCAGGATATTTTCAACAGGAAATGAATCGTTTGAAAATGCAACTTGTAAACATTGAAAGTTTGGCTGGTGGTATTTGGTGATCAACTTGAATTTAATCTACTTCAAACATGTCAGATTCTCATGCTGAACACAAACAATAAATTTATGTGTCTATACATGCACTATGTCAGGAAAAAATACACATTGAGGTAATGAGGATGCAACATATTTAGTGAATAACAAACAATGAGGAATCACACTAAGCTTGTCAATTTTTCTCACCAAACAAATGAAGCATTTTTTAATCAATTATTTAACTGCGATAAGAAATAGCTCCTGAACAAGAATTGAAAGCAATACATGTCTGTCTATCAACAGGTGAAAGCTTAAATATTTTTATATATTGCTTTTTGTTATTTTTCAGTAAAAAAAAAACAAATATATAATCTGTTTTGTCTACCTAAACACTAGCTTTTTACATTGAATCAGTTCAGCATAAATAATTTGGGAAAAGCATGAAGCCAACTCTCCCTATGCTCTGTGTCATTGTCAGGCACCTTGGTTCTGGTCATATCTTTGTCATGCCACAATGGTAAACAGAGAAAGCATATGAGTAAATACATGGGCAGGTAATTCACTCTCTGATAGTTACTGTCTGGCTACATAAGATATTATGTCACTTGGCAGTATTTGGGAGATGGCTGATATATTCATTTTCAGTTATAAAAGATAGTGTAGTGTCAGTATTAATCAAAAAATTAGGTCTGGTTCTCTGGCTCTATTAGAATAATAATATCCCTTTTGAGTTAATAGTTTTCTTAGAGGCAGGAAACCAACCTTCCTGGTGCATGGTCATGTTACTAGTGAGGTATCATGCTTGATACACTGTGAAACAAGAAAGAAAAAAAATGGTACTTTACAAAACTTATCATAATCAAACATATGCAACAAATGTAGATGAATGGTGAACAAGTTAGTCTTGCATCCCATTTGCAAGTGGATTGAGTTTAAACTTCATTGGGTGCTCCATTATTGTGTTCCTGTGCCAGACAAAGCTAAGTAAATATCTACTTTGAAGAAGACAAAGTGATTGTTATTAAACAAGTCTCAAAGGTTACTGCAGCAAGTTTAGTTCTAACTGGAAGTGCCACTATTTTGGCCTGTGTCAGACAAAATCAAATATTCCCCCAACTCTCCAAGCCTTAATTCTCAGAATGCAAGAATAAATAAGGAAATTAATGAATATTTAATACTATCAGGTTCCATAAACCACCATTTTGGAATTGTCTCTGTGAATACTGACAACTTCTGAGAGAGTTTTTATTTCAATTTTTATTTTGATAAAGTAAAAATTGAATCTGAATTTAAATGAAAAAAAAGAATGACATTCTTTTTATTTGAAGAAAGTGAAGCATTTTAAAATCTCTTCCAGCCCCAGAAATGTACCAAATGACATCTTTGTCTAATGGGTCGTGCCACCAACCATTCCTTACCAATTTGACTGGCCTTTTATTATCCAGAAAGTGATAATTTTAGAAATTAGATGTCATTTGTCCAACAGCCTGCTAGAAGAAGCCTTTTTTTTTTACTGATGTTTTTATTGATAGTGGCTCGTTTGATATATAAAAAAGAATGTATGTATGTGTCAGCTCTTTTTCTCTATGCATATATATCATTAAACAACAAGTAGTTAGAAAAATGGAGATATCTAGAAATGACAAAAATAATTAGGATATTGTATTTGGTGGCATATGCAGAGTCACCAATCTATTTTTGACAGACCATTCCAATTAATCACTCTGACTGACCACTTCATCACCAATTTCCTGAATTCCTTTAAATTGAAAAAATATAAAAATAATATATATATATATATATATATATATATATATATATATATATATAATTTGGAAATCCAAAAAAGAAGAGAACCCCTCCAGTTGACAGCATTAATAAAATCAGCTTGATACAGTTGAAAGTGCTGGGATATTGATTTTGTCACTTGATCTCCAGTGAAAGCTGCCAGAAACAATTGGTGCGAAAACACAGTGAAATAGAAATGATGATAATTAAATATTAAAAATATCAGGACTTCATCTGGGATTTGAAAAAAATGAATAAAACATGATTATAATAATTGGTGAACTTGAATAGAAACTATTTGTGCTTAATTGGTAGATTTGGGGGTTTGTGAGATTAGAAATTACTGGAAATTTGAAGAAACTTCTTGTTACTGACTGGTTATCACTCAATACCTGGTTGAAAAGGTATGAGAAATAAATTAACCATACTTTTGTTATAAATTTTGTCATTTTTCTAATAGGAGGAATATAGTTGAAAATCTTTGAGGATTAATATTTGCTTGCAACTGTGAATTCTGATTATGCTTCATGATTAGTATATATAAAGATGGATCAATGATGTGTAATTATTAGTTGAATTTTGATCTGGAATTTTCAATGCTCAATGTTCAGTCTATGTGACTAATATTTATCATGGAATTAAATTCAATGACAATGAAGGAGATTAGATTATATTGAAGAATAAATATTTATTGTGTAAAATAAATGCTTTTTTCATTAGTCTTACATAGGTGGTATATTAAATAGTGGCTGGGAATGAGAAATTGGAGGGACAAGTTCAAATTCCAGTCAGGTTCGTTACATTGATTTGCAGGTGAATACCCTTGGGAAAGGTATGAATCCATTTCCTCCCTAATCTATGGGTTAAATAATAGGATTTGTATCTATAAAAGTCATTGTTATTCTCAAAAAATAGTTAATGCAATACTCACTTGCAAAAAATAAACTGAATTATTCTTTCTTTATTATATTTCAGCTTTAAATATGCCAAAAGTTTCATGTGTTGTAAAGAATAAAAACAATCAATCAATTTTTAATGTAACTCTGGTTAATGATCACAATGTTAAAACTTGTTTTTGGCAACGGCTTTCAGCAGAGTTAAATCTGGCATTTTTATTTTCTTAGATTGTTTAGAAATTAATCAGATTAGAATATAAAGTTCATTCAACCCTTTGGCAAATTCTGACCTACTGAAATGTCTCACTGACTACGGGGTATCAATCAGTATGGAAATTCTTGCATAATTATGTCAACAGCAGATTGGGTTAAAACACACGTGGAGATAAAAAAAATTGTATATTTCTGGAAAATTTGCATAATTCATGAAGAAAATTGTACATTTAAGCTCACCAAAGCATTTTATAGAGAGGCAAAACTTTTTTTTAAGAGAAAGTTTACTGGTGAGAGAATCTTTGTTTTATAGTGATTACATAGGCTACCTATTTATTTTTATATAGTTGCATGTGCAGCAAATAATTAAAAGTAGATATAAAAATAATTGAACTTTTACTGGTTACTAAGAAATGGAAGTAGGTGGGTAAGGAAAACATCCAAAATATTTATCAGCAAAAAAACTCCTGTGGAGATGTAGTTTTATGAAATTTTATTTGCTGAGTGAACCAAAAAAATGAAAGAGATAAACTAATATTAAAAACAAATTAAGAAAACAGCAGAATTTTTCTTTATACATAATTGCTAGTTTGTGACAAGAACATTTAGTACCGCATTGTGCATGTGCGTGTGCGTGTGTGTGTTTAATATATATAAAAGTGGACACCAAGGTCAATACCAAGTGGTGATAGTTTGCTTTTTGCTTGAATGTAAACTTCAAGCCAATTTTGATAGCAGGGGTGAGGAAATGGCCTGAAGATTGTGTTCAATAATGAAACAGACTGTCACCACACAGTGTCTGCTTATATATTTACACACACACTCTATCCCTGATACTGAGCACTTTTACTCATAAATATAGCATATCTTATAACTATATTTTTATCATTCATATATAGATAGATAGATAGATAGATAGATAGATAGATAGATAGATAGATCTTTTACTACTATAAAAATTATATGGGTAAACATGTTGGAGTAGACATCCTTGATTTTTTAAACCATGATTAGGAGATTGACAATTTTGAGAAGAATGAAACCACATTTTAATTGCAGTTGTTCCCATGTCCACCCTGGGTGGTAGCACCTGTTAGGGTCCCAGTTATCAGCAAATAGATAAAAAATTGTATATTTCTGGAAACAAAAACAAAATTCTTTGAAAGTATAAAAATACATTTTTATAGTAAAAATACCAGCAATATATATTTATATGAAAAAAAACCAACAATATATATTTATATTAAAATGACCAACAATACATGATTAAAGCATAATAACAAACAATACATTATTAAAGCAAAATGACCAGCAATACAATTTTAAAATTACCAACAATACATTTTATAGCAAAAAGACCAACAATACATTTTATAGTAAAATGACTAACAATACATTTTATCTGTTGTTGACGGCATACAATTGCGTTAAAAATATATTAGTTGAAGTCATAAAATTGTGTTAAAAATATTTCATTTACATTTCAGCATTAAATCACCCATAAGGAGTTGACATACTGTTAAACAAACAAACATTTCTAAGCAAGCATTAATTCCATTGATAAAAAATGTCTACTGAAACACATGTACCCACTATATATAACACTAACAGTAATGAGAAATAATGTATTAAATACCAATTAAATGCTTAATATGTACATACATATATATATATATATATATATATATATATATATATATATATATATATATATATATTAATCATTTCACCCCAAGCAAGGCGATAATGCCACAAGGACACAGAGACTTACAACTGGGAATGAAAGACAATGTTATATATAAAGCTTTTCCATACTTCCCTTGATCATGCATATATACGTACATGTGTTTTTGTGCGCAAAAGAGGGTGCTGAAAAGTTTTCACCTTGACTAAGAAGGGACTAAGTAAAAAATTCTAATGTTTGGTCATTTGCTCAGATTTTGGGATGTGGGTTGGGCTAAGAACTTTTCAACATCCTACCATATATGGCCACAGACTGTCCTGTAGTTATTAACTGAAGTTTGAGCTGAAATTATCATTGTATAATGTTTAATCTATGTGATTAATATTTACCAGTAAATATTACCAGTAAATTAAGTGCACTGACAAAGAAGGCGGTTATGTTGAAAAATAATAATTTGTTAAGTAAAATAAATGCTATTTTTCATTATTATGGACAAATGTTCTTATATGTATGTGTGCATGCATGTCTCTATGTGTGTGTTTATGTGTGCACTTATCTGTGTATGTATGCATTTGTGAATTTATTGTTGTTTTATTAGAACGTATCATAGCAAAATATTATTATCCTGTTTTTTTTTTTTTGTTACCAGAATCTTGAAACTCTTCAAATAGTTTTCCTTCTTTTGAAACTTTTTTCTTTACAGAGAATTTCAAGGTACCACACAACTTCCCAAAAGTGACAAACTTACCCGACAGTTTAGTGACATTCCCAGAAATAAATCCTTCTTTTTTTTTTTCCTTTTTGTCTTGTCTTCTCTGGATATAGTTAGGTTTTATAAAAGTTGTAATAATATTAATTCAGAAATATTGTTTTTAAAGGGGTGTATTCTGGCGTCTTTTCTTTTTTTCTTAAATTCTGCTGAGTATGCCCCAGTTCTGAGAGTAATCCTAATGGTAGTGTCAGTTATAAAGGCACTGGTTTTGAAAGTGCTGCTTATAATGACATGTCAGGATGGTATGGGTGGTAATGGTATTTAATTATTTGGTCAGATTTGCAGGCACACAAGAGATTGTGTCATGCAGTACAATGTTGTCTGTCTTGTTGTTTTTGCAAAGAGTTGACTGATGATTTGTGATAAAAAGCAAGAAACAAGAATTTTATGGGAATTAATTCAAATTGTGCCAACAAAATTGAGGCATGCCAACATGATACTTGTAATGTCTACAAATATTTTGATGCATTTTATTCCATCTGTTTTGGCCACAATGTTCTTTAGCTGATCTATTCTTTGGCTTCAAGTTTGTGAGAATTCAAAAGTAAAAACATTTAAGAAAAATAATGTAAGTAAAGAAGGAAGATAAAGACAAAATTGTACATTTACCTTTGGTTCTAATGGACAGTGTTCAATCCCAGGTAAATGCCATGATTTTGACAATTGATTTTTAAGGTAGGGAAGCCAAACTATTTCATTTGGAAGACTGGAGCAGTACAATCTTTGTATCCCTTATTTGTCTCTAAGATTAAGCTCAAATAGGAAGAAAGTTTTGAAGCAACTAAGAAAGAAGTAAGAAAGAAGGAATGAAGGAAAATGAAGGAATGAAGAAAGATGAAGGAAGAAGAAAGATGAAAGATGAAGGAATGAAGAAAGAATGTTAAGTAAATCAAAAAGCAAAGACAACAGAAAAAAAATAAATTCAATTGAATAAAAACAATAAAGAAGAAGGAAGGAAAAAAAAGGAAAGAAAAGGTTAAGAAGTAAATAAGACAATGAAGGAAAATAATACAGAAAGAAAAGAAATAAGAAAAATGAATGGAGAAAAGCAAGAAAGAAGGGGAAAGAGAAAGTCATGAATAAGAATAAAGGAAAAAAAGCTAAAGAAAGATAGAAAAAGAATGAAGAAAAAATGAAGGAGACAAAAGAAAATGTTATGAAATAAATGAGAAAAAAAGGAAAGAAAAGAAAAATAATTACAAGGTAAATAAGAAATAGTTTAAATAGAAAGAAAAAAAAGAAAAATAAAGACGAAAATGAGAAAAAGAGGAAAAGAAAAATGAATGTCTAAAGCCAAAATAGGGGAAAAAGAAGAAAGAAAGTTATAAGTTGAAAAAGAAATAAGAAGGAAACAAAGAATGAAAGAAGAAAGCCAGAAAGAAGGAAAAAGATAAGAAACAAGTAAGAAGGAAACAAAGAAAAGTATGAAAGGAAGAAGAAAGGGGGGAAAAGTAGAAAGAGAAAAAAAAGAAAGAGCAAACATTATTAAGTATACAAGAAAAAGAAAAACGAAAGGAAGATTGGAAACAAAGCAAAATAAAAATAACCTTTTTTTTTTTACAGTAAAGGTCACCCTGTACAAAGCCCTCAGGCCACTTGAGATAGAGAATTACATTAAGGGGTATTTTAGACGATTAGAAGGTAAACCATAGATATGAACAGGCTAAGATTATAGTGATTGGGGAAACATCCTCTTGGGAGTCTGTTCCACAGGGCAGTGGTTCATGAGAAGAAGTTGTTTGAGTGGAAATTACTTCTCCCCAATGAAATATGGAGGGAATGTGGATTGTTTGCTACAATGTAAGTGGCATGGTGGGTCCTTGCTATGACAGTTAGAATATTTGTTGTATCATTGGAATAGATGCTCATAAATGATGTGTATATATTCTTAAGCAGATTATTTATCTAAAGCATAAAAAGGGTTGGTCTGAGAAGTGACACATGGGAGATGTCTGCATTAACCCTGGCCATTAATAACTACATTCAGGGCCCTACCTGTTAGGAAGGATTTTATAATCGAGACAAATTATAATTATAAAAAAATTCGAAATGATTTGAGGTAGATAAAACAAATCTTAAAATGGGATTTATTATATATATATATATATATATATATATATATATATATATATATATATATATACACACACACACACACACAGGGTTGTTAAAAAGCTCTTAGTCTGACCAATTGATTTAATATCAGAACTGTTTTTGAAGGGCATCTTGGTTGGGCTAAGAATTTTTCATCAATCCTCATGTATGTGCATGTGCCTTATATATATATATATATATATATATATATATATATATATACACACATACATATATATATACACACACACACACACACACACACATATATATATATATATATATATATACATATATATATATATACATATATATATATATAAATTCAAATATAAATAAAATTGTCTGCTAAATATGTTAACTGAAGACCTATTATTTTAAAAATAAATAAATAGTTTATCAAATGAAAATAAAATAATAAATAATAATTACATTAATCAATCAATAAATATATATAAATAAATAAGAAATAAAATTACATCACTTAGCATAGGCCATAGTTTACCTTTACTTACATAGTCACCTTTAAGAATATTTTAGACCATTCTTAAAATATAAAAATTTGAAAACATAACAATATTTTTCCTTCACTTCTGTTAATAAATAAATGTTACAAAATAAAATCCTTGCATTTACCTTGATAAAGTCCCTCAGAAGATGAAATGCATTGGTAAAAGGAAAATTTTCCTTTTGTTTATATTCATTCATATATATATATATATATATATATATATATATATATATATCTTATAAATATAATGGTTTCAATGAAAAAAGAAAAGAAAAAGAAAGAAAAGTAAGAAGAAAAGAAACAGAATGAAGGAAGGAAAGAAAGAAAAGAAAAAGAAAGAAAGAAAAGAAAAAGAAAGAAAGATATGAAAAAGAAAAAGAAACAATGAAACAAAGAAAAAGTTGAGTGATTAGGTGAAAAGAGAAAAAAGAGAGAGAAGAAATTTTGCTGAAAGTTTGGTGAATTGACAAGTGAGTGTAATGTGTGGGTCTTTAAATGTCTAGTTAAATGTAACACGTGGCCAAATTGTTGTTAGTAAACCTAGTGTTGAACACTCACTAGTGTGTCTGATAAGGAACAATTAGAAAAAAGGCAGGTGTGTGTTTATGGGCCAAGAATAACTTGAACACCAATGCCGACTTGGTATGAAATAAATAAAGTTAAGGTCAAGAGAGAGAGAGAGATAGGGGAAGAGAAGGGTGAGTGAGATATCAGTAATAGGTAATTGGACGTTGGGAAAAGAATGAAGAAAGAACAAGAAAGGAAGAAAAAAGGAAAAAAGAAAGGGTAAAAGCAAAGCAGGGAAGTGAAAGGAAGAATGAGAAGAAAGAAAGACAGAAAAAGAAGGAAAAAAGAAAAATATACAAAAATAAAAAGGAATAAAAAGGGACTGTTTGGGATGGAAAAAAAGATAAGATGAAAGAATGAGAAAGAAAAAATGGCAAAGAAATAAGAGAGAAAGAAAGAGAGGGAGATAACTGAAGGAATAAAAAGAAAGAAAAAAAGCAGGAAGGAAAATATAAGAAAGAAATATACAAGAAACATTATAGACTAACTGAATGATAGAGGAGAAGAAAAAATAGAAAGAAAGAAGGTACATAAAAGGCAAATAGTGACAGAAAGAAAGAAAGCATTAAAAATGAAAGAAAATAGAAGAAAATAGAAAGAAAAAACCGAATGATAGAAAAAAGATAGAAATAAGGGAAAAGAAATCAATAAAATAGATGAAAGAAGGAAATAAAATAGAAAGAAAAAAGAGAATGATCTAAAGAAGAAAACAGTAGAAAAGAAGAAATTAAAAAGAAGAAAGAAAAGAAGGAAAGGATTAGAAACAATGTTGAAAAAAAGAAGAGACACAATAAAAAGAAAGAAAAAGAATGATAAGAAAAAGAAGGAAACTAAAGAAACAAGAAAGAAAGAAAGAGAAAGAAATGAAAAAAGAAAGATGTATAAAATTGAAAAAGAAAGGGAAAAAGAAAGGGAAAAAGAAATTAATAATAAAGGAAAACCAAGGAGAAATAAATTCAAAAGAAAAAAAAATAACAACAAACAAAATGCAAAAAAAAAAAAAAAATTACTAAAATGAATATATTTTGAATGGCCCTGATTAGCCTCTTACCTGTCAGGTGTTTTAGTGATTCATCTCAGGGCAACTCACCACTCACCACTCTTCTGATCCCCACTTCTGCATTTAACATTTCTCTAATACTGACAGTAATTACAGAGCCCCTCCCCCAAGCCATCAATTTTTCAATTCTTCAGGTCACCAATTCAACCAGCTCATCATTGGTTCAACTCAAAAAAAGGAAATTGCTAAGAATCAATGAAAGTTTATGCCAAAGTCAAAAGAGACAATGGTTATCATCGCCATGGAGAAAATAACAAGCTAGTCTAACAGACCAATTACTACTGCATAGTGCATTTTATCCTCACTGGGGATGCAATGCATATAGTTTTGTGCCAAACTAAACTAAACCCAGCAAATATCTTAAGAGTGTCATTTGTTGGAAAATGGTTAGTGAGCCAATTTAGGACAGAGGAAGTCTATAGAAAGTGGTTCCTCTGACAAGGTATTAAAATTGTTCTCCTATCTAAGAATCTAATTACTTTACTAAAGTTCAAAGTAGAACTACATGACCCAAAATACAAGTCCAGAACATTATATAGATTACAATAAAATATAGTACTTCAACAAGAAAACTGGTACAAGGTTATATTTTATTTGAAGGGAATTTAAATAAAAATAAATGTAATTATACTACATGAATTATGGCAACACAATTATCAGAAAACAGACTCTTTTAAAGTGCATGACCTCTGACAGGAAACATGCTTTAATTGTCTTTTACATTTTTAATTGAAAAAAAAAATGATATGATAACCACAAGAAGATAATATCTTAACATATGACAGAATAAAATCATCTTATAGCATTTCAATACATATCTCCCTGACAAGACAAATATTTTTTAATAATTTTTAAAATTTTTCACTGAGTAATTATAAAAATAAAATATTATTACAAGATCTGCTTTAATAAATGATTGCACCAGATTTGCAAGGAAACAAATGCAAGCAGCATTCTGCAGTCTAAAAGTTTACCAGATGATTTAGTGCTTAATGCCAAATTTATGAATATTACATTACAAATTTTGTTTAGTGTTCAGTGGCATCATGGCACCAGTCTCTGACCAAGTAGTGTTCATGATATGTATTCTACTTGCCATACCCTAGATCTAGGGTACTAATCCCCAATCGGTATTTAACACTTGTGACTAATACAAAAGTAGAAATCTAAACCTTAGAACATATTTAGAATTTAAAGACACACTGATATGAAAAAAAGCATCATTAGAAAGCCTCCTTTCATTTTGCAGTTAGTCTTTGAATTTACTAGATCATGATTACTACAAGTTACCAGATTAAAGCATTTTTCAAATTGAACTCACTTGTTTACTATGCCATATCAAGCAGACTTAACTATAAACAAATGAATATATATATATATATATATATATATATATATATATATATATATATATATATATATATATATATATATTCTAACATGAGGTCTGAGTTTTTTCTCTATGATCAGTTTGGCAAGAATATGATTTCTTGATAATTCAGGCAAAATGATCATGCAGAACTTTTGTTAAGTGCTTGACTTGTGGGTAAACAGAAAAGTTGTATCAGTGGCTTTGTTAGTGCAAAGCTACACATCAAAGTGACTGAGGGTTTGAGTGGGCTGCCCTTGTTCAAACTGTTGATCATCAAGATGATTTGCTTTCTCCCAGAAACTGTAACTAAGGTCTGCTCAACATAGTTGCAGTATAAACCAAAGGTGGGTACAATAGACGTTGAACATAAACAAATGTGCTTGAGCAGGCATCTGCAAAAGGGATTGGCTAGCTGGTCTAATGGTCAGGCATATTCAGATATGATTGCCCAGCCATTACAGTAATACCTTAAGATACAAGTTTCATTTGTTCCAAGATTGAGCTCATAACTCAAAACACTTGTATCTCAAATCAATTTTTCACATTGAAATTAATAAGAATATTTCCAATCTGTTCCAAGCCCCTAAAAATCACAATTATTTTCCTAAAAGTCGCTCTCCTTTTTTTGCATTTATGGTTTTCTTACAAGCAAAAACATGTGAATAAACAAGAAATGTAGTTAACAAACAATAAAATAAAAAGAAAAAAAATTGTAAAGAAATAAACTGTACTATACCATGAATTTCAGACAAGTTATAGGCCAACTGGAAGAGGAGAGATAGAGTGGGACAACAGTGAGCCTAGCAACCATTAACCTAGCCTACCAATGGCTGGCCTAGTCTACAATACCAAAGATTAACTTTATCACTTAATTTACAAATTTTTTAAAACGTTCATATTTTATCCAGTACTGTAACTATTTTTTTTTAAATTTTATAATTTTTTTATTTATTGTTAATGTAGAATGCTCATACTGTCTTGCCAAATCCATTACTCATACGTCTTCCTCATGTTTTTTTTTTAAATTTCTTGTTTTACCTCAAACAAAATAATATGTTTCAGCTTTTCACCACTGCTCTTTACACTTGGTTTCTTCAAATCCATAGTGTCACTAAAAGAATTTTGCAAAATAACATAAAAAAAGACACAGCACAACACAACAGAGATCCTTACAGAGTAATGTGAACACGTGTACTATGAGTGGAAAAACTCTCGAAGTTTGGCACTAACTGCACACTCACTGCATGCTCATATATCAAGGCATTACTGTATGTATGTGTGTGTGTATATATATATATATATATATATATATATAAAATTTCAGTTATCACTAAAAAGATATCTGTTCAAAGACAATATGAGTAAAGACAAAAGAAAAACTTAGCTGACATGTTTGTTCCTCTGATGGACTTTATCAAAGCAAATGTAAGGATTTTATTTTGCCACAAGTATTCATAAACAGGATTATAGATGTTAGTTTTTAAGAATTTTTAAACTTCAAAACACTCATAAATATAATTCAGGTTAACTGAAAGTCAAGGTAAATTATGGAAGATTCTAAGTAATTTAATGTCTAATAAACAAAAGTGAGTAAATGTTTTATATTGTTGTTGAATTTTTATTTTATAATGTAATTATTATTTATATTATTTTAGTTTGAGATTAATTTATGTAGTAAATATTTTAAATAACAGAAATTTTAAAATTTAACTGATTTCTTTCAATTAAAAATATTATAGTCATGTATGTTGGCTTGGGAAAAAGTAATTCTTTTAGGAAAGGCAAGATTTGAAAAAATCTGTGCTGCAGATTCAATAGCTGCAATCTCAAGAATTTTCCATCTAAGTAAGTTATTTTCTCTTTTAATAATTGTGGCGTTATTTAGTTCAAAGTTGTGATTAAACTTATTTTTATGTGTGACTAAGGCATTTGATAAATTGTCATGTATAAGATCCTTTTTCTGTTCATAGATATGTTTTTATAAATTTCTATAATTTTCCCCAAAACTATTATGGATATGATCAGAACTAAAAATATTCATACCATAATAATTCTGATGCAGGTAGATATGAAATAAACTGTCAAAAATCTCCCTCACAATATACTGGGAAATCTTGCAGAAATTTAATAAAACGTATCTATGAATACAAAGAAAAAAAAAATTAATCTGAATGATCAATCTTTTTCTTCTCTCTTTGGAATGCATAAAATATATGTGGATTTAAGTTAGTCTGGCACAAGGGCATAATACTATACCATTAGAGAATCAGACATGCTAACCATTATTCAATTTATCAATATAAATATCTTCAGTCAGAACAAATGTTCAGTTACTATATGTATCTGCTTATTGATATTCATTATTGATTTTATTTCTAAGGCATGAAAGGCTTTAATTTCCAATGATTGCTAATTACACTTTCACTTTGCGGTCAGTTATGCAAGGACGCAAAATTACAGAATTACTCAATATGGCTTGTAAGAGAAAATTGCTATCATGATTTAAAACAAAAGAATATATATTTTCAGTCAGGACACCTGTTTAGTGGCTAAGATATTTGTGAAAATAGGGCCCTCTTTCACTGACTAGAAAAATCATCCCCACATTGTGTTTCGATTCACATTTGCATCAGGGTGGACTAAAAGTGGAAAAGGCTTGTCGTATGTTCACAGCCAAAATAAAGGTGAAAATATTGTCACAGCAAGAAATGACAACATGAATCCTATTTTCTTTATGGTGGTTATTTGTTCAGATGCACTTAGCACGGTTGAGTGAGGGTGGTTAGGCAGGTGTCACTTGGGTCGACTTTGCTGCTACTTCTGTCTTCTCTCATGACAAACAAAAAGACCAGATCTTCCCTTCAATCAGTGAGAACTTCAACTCTCTCCTACCACTAATCTGTCCACCTCTACATCACAATGTGCAGCTACAACTTCCAACTGCTATTTATTTATTTCATTTTCCCTTTTACCTACTTGTGGACAAAGGGTGGTCATTTTGAAGATCTTAATTTTAAATATTTCATTTTCTATGCAGTAATGAAACCCAGCCCAGATAAAAATCATTTGGGGCCAACTTAATTTTGGGTTAAATAGCAGGATAGATTTGAAACCAATTTAAGCAGAGACCCATTGTGTCATAGTTGCTTATAATCATTAATACCCATCATCAGTGTTTAAATTGAGGTAAGTTAGAAACCTGAATGCTGATTTTCAAGGTAAACATTTGCAAGATTGGCACAACACAATATTCCTTTCTCCTATTCACCTCTGTTTGGTCTTGACACAGACTTTGCTTTGCAGACAATATTTGGTGCTTCAAAATGAGTCACCTATTCAAATACTGATCAAGTTTGATGTTGCTTAACTTTAATAATCAGATAATGAAACTATATCCTATATTCTTAGATGAAAGTTGGTCTGAACCAATTAAGCTATGAAATCCATTTATCCGATATCATTCAAGTTGGATCATATTGTGGATCTATGTCTGGTGTGAGTGTATGTGTGTGTGTGTGTGAATACATATTAATGTGTTTCATTGAAAATAACTGACAAGATGTTTCTGTTAAGTTTTTTTGTTTTTCTTGTGTGCAAACAAGAGATTTCTTTTTTGGACAATGTATGTAGAAATCGTCCCAATGATTGTTATTTCAAGTGGTTTGGCATTAAACTATTGGCTATTTTCAAG